AAATTCAGGGGGCATTTGTTGGCACCAAAATTTGGCAGCTACCTCAGCGGTGACATAGACCAGTGAAGAGCCGAAAAGTGTTTATTATTGTAATGACCCGAACCCGGAGGTCCAAACCGTTAGCCGAGTCCTTACTTGAACCCGAGGTCACCTACATCAAACTCGAAATTTCTAAGGTCACGACATCACCTTAAGATCATCCCTAGGTTGTCACATGGTTTCTAAATAAATCCTAGAGGCTAGAAATGAAATACCAAGGAGAGAAAGACAATGTGAACCAAACAGGGGCACTTCGGTAGACCGAAGTAGAGCCTCAGTTGGCCGAAGCAGACCTCCAAGAACCGGTCGACCGACACATTGCTTCAGTCGACCGAAGCAAGGATACCGAGAGCACACAAAAGTTACGGTCGACCGAACACCATTTCGGTCGACCGAAATGAAGATCCCGAGAGCTGCTTGAGAGGTTCGATTGACCGATGCACCATTTCGGTCGACCGAAATGGCTTTCTCGAGCCCTGCATCCTGAAACTGACCTGCTACCTTATAAATGAACTGAAAATGGAAGAGAAGCTAATATGGAAACTTTACTTCATAGACAACTTACATAAAAATGGATTTCAAGCTTCTAATTACGTCATTTACATGTCAAATGAACTTAGTACATTTCGTAAGTTATGCTTTACAAATGGAGTTCAAGTTCTACAAAATACATCCAATACGTCCTTTAAGTCCTCTCAAGCCTGTGGTGGATTGTCATCCGCTAACTCTTTGCCATACCCTGAAAAATATTATATATATATAGGGTGAGCAAATTGCTCAGTAGGTGGTGCCTAAGACACACTTCTTGTGTCCCCGTGAACCCAAACAAGGAATAGAACAATAAGAGTCAGGGTCATGCTAAGTCGAGATAGCACACATCATATCCAAGCTCAACATTAATAATTTAATGCAATGAAATGCAATGCATGTCAATGTCGCTCCCCATTTTCAAAACCATTCATCTGTCATTTTTCAAACTGTTAATGTAACCCCCTTGGGTACCCCCTCAGCGCCGAGAGAAGGATTGGCTACTATCCCTAGACCGTTGGTGACTCTGCAACGTCATTATGGGGCCCAGATAGCTCAACCACTCTAGGGCAATCTCCCTAGTTCCCTCTAGGTTACATCAACCTACCGGCCCTTTGGTGACTCCGCGGTGACCGGGTTTTCAAAAAATCTCTTTAATCAAAACTTCTTTCCTAAAACTCCCTTTTTTCATTTCAAAACACTTTTCCCCATTTTTATGCCCAATGACATGCATGAACATTACATACTTTCTCAATGACATGACAATGAAAGACATTTATACCACACAATTTAACATGCTCCCATTCAACAATTCATAATAAATTGCTAGCACCATAGATAAAAAGAATTTACACATAAACATGTTTCCCACATAGCAAATTTTAACAAGGTTACAAACACTCAAGTATATAGAATCAACAACTAAGCATGTTTTTCTCACAAATCCACATATACACATAATCATGAATTTCATGTACAACACTAAATCACTTTAAAGGCATTCATCTCAAATCAAACAAGTTTAACTATAATTAACAAAGATTAATTCACAAAGGAGCAAGAAACTCATGGATTAGGAACCCCTACTTCAAAATTGTGCAAAACCCTCAAAATGGGTCAAGATTTTCGAAAATCCTAGGGAGCACCAAAACTGAAATTGCTTGTAGGGATTCAAAGGCCTCGTTGTGGGCTTCGATTTCCCGCAAACGGCTTCCAAAATGATCAAGTAATGAAGGAGAAATCTTGATTCAAAGTTTGGTGTAAAATGAAAAAGAAAATGAAGAAAAAATGAGGGCAAGAGAGAGAACCTACGGGAGAGTGAGTGAGAAATGAGACCATGTGTGGTCTCTAACTTGCTCTTAAGGGCTAAGGTGGGTCCCACCACTTTTGATTTTCTTCTCTCTTTTTCTTTAGCTTTATTTTACACCACATATGCATATACACATTTAAATGATGCACAAACTTATACAACACATTAATTAAATTAAATATGATGCAAATGAATCCACCCAAAATCCCAGGATGCAACAGTACCGGGAGCGGGTCCCACACGGGACCGTCCGGTCCAAAAAACTGAAAAATGCAAAAACGACCAACCTTGCATTTCAAAGAGTGTCGAACTCAATGAAATGTCCCAAACAAATATTCGACATACCCGGTACACCCCACGGTGTCCGGTACGCGAAACGTGAAATGACGAAAATGCCCTTATGGCGATAAAATTTTGAAAAAAATGAAAAATAATGAAAATCGGAAACGTCACAATTATGTCTTAAGGGAAATTGGCCAACAAAGAAATATTGGGAGAGAATTTAGGAAGCTATATTCAGCCACCTTACCAAAAGGTTGTTGCTAGAATATAAACAACCAAGATTTGAGTTAAATTCAAATGAGTAATTTATTGAAAATGAAGTTCTATGAGAATGAAGTGATTAAATCCCAATAAAATAGGGGTTTAGTTAAGGAAAAGGAAATAAAATCCCTATGAAGTAGGAATTTAGTTGAAAAGGGATTTAAGAAATAGGCAGCCGAGTTAGTCATTATATGGGCAGATTGAAAAGGTGGCCATTTAAGGGAGATATGATTTAAGGAAGATACGGCTGCCATGTTTATAAAGAAAGAAGTTGCTAAAAACTAGCAACTTTCCAGCAACCTTTTAGCAATTTTTCAACGGCAACTTGCAAGTGACTAAATCAAGGAAGGTTGTTTTAATAAGGATTTTTCTACTGAAGCAAGATGAGAAGAGAAACAGCATAACAATGGGATTTGACTCAGTTCAAATTACGAAAAGAAAATCAAGGAAGGAGAGATTTTCAAGCAATTAATTAGGAAAATAAGTTGATTTAAAACTTCTATAAATAGAAGTGTTGTATTTTATTCCAATTGGTCCAGCACCACCCACAAAACATGAATCAAAATTCATTTATCAAATGACTCAACGTCATCTTTATCTTCTCTTCAATTATTTTGTCCAAATGGCAATTTCCATTCGAAGAATATGAATTCCAATAACTTATAATTCTTTTTGCAATGCTTAATTATGCTATTTACAATTTATTCTTTGTTTTATGCAAACGAATTTAAATGACAAATCTTTGATCAGATTCATGTCAATTTAATTCGGCCTGTTCTATTCATTCCTTTATTTTCCATGTAATTTCCATTCATCCATTTACTTTATTGTCATTTCAATTCGGCCGATTTACTTTTTAGTCCATTTCAATTAAGCCTTTTCATTTAAATTACTTTTCTTCAGTCATTGCATTTTTACTTCTTTTAAGCACCTTAGATAAAAAATCCTTGCTACAAACAAAGCATAAAAAAACCTTGCTTGGAGTTCTTACTAGTCTCTCTCCCACACAATCGCCTGAAAGTCAGCCATCGGAAAAAGGGATAGGCTGGTGTTCAAATCAACATATTTTGAGTGTTTTGTACAAATACTCTGTCACGCCCGCAAAGAGTCCATCGACCGGCATAAAACCGCGCGAACGCAAAGACATACAAATGTTGTGAGAGAGACGACTAGCAATACTTGATGGATTCTTCATGCTGGTTACAAAGACAGACAAATTTTATGAGAGAGACGACGAGCAACACTTGCTGAATTCTTCATACTGGCTACAAAGACAGACAAATGTTGTGAGAGAGACGATGAGCAACACTTTTCTGATTATCTGTTCAGATATGTTAGAAATAATTGAACTCACAGGGGCATATCTGGGAAGGGAGGGCACAGAAGAAATTTGGGAGAGACTGTATTTGGGAAACAAAGAGCCACTTGAGCGCCAAGGATCATACCAAAAGAGGGTGGAAGAGCCATTTCCAATCTTACAGCAAACTACTGGCTTGAAGGCATGCCTGAATTGAAGTAATATCGCCAACACCAAAAGCATGATTTGAGGAGTTTTCAATTCCCAGAACCTCCTTCCCCTAATCAGGTAATGCTTGATCCAGTTCAACCATAAATTTTGACTGTTGTTGATTCATCCTTATGAAAATGCATCAGGATAACATACACTGCAAACAAATCAAGCCTTCCTCAGTATTATTATTATATCTATTGGTTCTTAGTGCTGGAAGGCTCTGCATGTGCCACTTTCGTTACACCCAAGCTTTACTTTTGGGAGTGCAATTTTCTTTGGTATCCCGAGATTGTGGCTTGGTCCATCAGTAATTGGTTAGTCCTTACCGACATAATTTTCCACAACAAAGTTTGGCTTATTGAAAAAAAAGGAAAATTTTAGAAGTTATCACCGTGAGGACATTTTAGAATTACTCTTGAAAAAGCTACATAGATGAAGTTTTGTGAGTGACCTCTATAGATGAAATTAAGTCTAAGCTCTGTTTGGGTAGACTCGTTAACTGATGTAATCTTGTGTAACATGAAAAAATGTATCTATTAATTGAGAGAACTTGATTTTATGAGTTCTTGGGTCACTAAAAAATCTAAAGATTTAATTTCAATCAATAGTAATTTGCTCGATGTAAGTTAATAATGCAAAACAATTCAAGAGAAATACAGTTTTTTCCGCAAGGAAAAGAATTATTAGTTTTCTTCATATAAAATAAATAAAAAAAAAAGTCCGACCCTAACTCCATTACTTGGGGAATGGTGGGTAAGAGCTAAAATAGATCTCATATCAGCTTTTACCATCTCATCTTTGAGTAGATGCCATCTTCCTTTTAACTCCTAATCTTAAGATAAAAAGGCGTCTGCATATAATCCTTATGCATTTGAATCAATTCAAAATAAATAAATAAATAATAATCTTGGCATTTTTTTATTCAATATTTACATCTTGTGTTCCATAACTCATGTGGGCTAGATTTTGTGCTTTAGAATGGTATTAGAGCGAAGAGAGCTCAGATAATTGAGAAAGGAATAATAATAATGATAACAAAAGAAAAAACTCAGTGGCCATTATACAGCACCGTGTTAAAAAATTTCATCTTACCCATTAATTCTAAAATTACGCCAGTATGCTGCTATAACTGCTGCAAGATAAAAGGCTAAGTTACATGACATTGGGAATTCTTTGGGAAAGTACATGCCATTCTATGCAAAGGAAATCAACTAGTTTATGTAAATTCAGTGTAGACCCTAATTGTATGAGATCAAGCAACCTTGTGCCAATCAAGTAGGTTCCACTCACTAAACATCCCATGTTACCAGTAACATTTTCAGGCTTCTTAGCTAGCTACTTCACAATCAACTTAGCTCTAGCATGGCCTTTAGTTATTTGGAACTGTTCAGTGATTCCCAGATGTGCCATTAGAAGCCAGACATGAGTGAGAAGTTCTCCACCTTTTCGGAGCTGCTGAGCATGGCGATGGCCATTACAGTGAGTAGCGGCATATCCTAGATTCTCCACCCACATTTTACTCACAAATTCCCATTTCGTTTCCTTCATGTCTTTCAATGATTTTGCAAGCCGGCAAGCATCGAACAATACAGATTTGCTTCGGTCCCCCTTCACTTTAATCGGCCACACTTTAGTGTTCACATCAAGCAACTTTTTACAAGCTAAATTAAAACCGTGTTTCGAAATAGTATTTCTTTCTTCAAAAAACTCCTTGGCTTCAGCGCAGGTATCACGAAACCTGATCATCCCAATTCCCATTGGCAACAAAGAAGGACACATTACCAGAAGATATAACATATAGTCTGATATCTGCTTGCTGCTTTCTTTAACTTTAAGCAAATCTGGATTTTTCAGCACACCATCCGTATAGTAGCAGAGGTCAGTAGCAATGTGCCAAATAAGAATGCTTTGGTCAAATTCCATATCTATCGCCCAATCAATTGAGGTAAAATTATTGTATTTCCTAAGAACAAAACTACCTCTCATAAACCTCTTCTGTTCTTCAACTTGTTCTCCTGTGCTTTGCTGTCCTTCAGCTTTGGGTGGCCTGTGATCCGTGCTGCTGCTTGTAAATTCCTTTTGGTGTGTGAAGATCAGTTCTTTCAAGTTGAAAGGATCCTTTTTAAGGTTTTTATAGGTCTTATAACGGTGTTTTTCTCGAAATTCATTGATCCGGAGGAGCTTTTGGACTCCATGGCAAATTGGGGGCTTATCTCCGAGACAAAAGCTCAGTAAATTGTACTGTGCAATTGAATTGGACCACCAGTACTGTTTCTTGGATTGTCGCAAGCAGGAGAAGATGTTGCGAGATTTGCTATGTCTACTCAACCAATCCAACAGATAATAATCCGTCCAGTCTGAGTCGAGCATAACAATGGCTGCATATATCTCCAGGAGAAGTGCCACCACCATCAATAGGTATGTGATTGCTAGATCAATTTTGTGGTAGCTATCCTTGTCAGATAGTGCGACAAAGAATATCAACGCCCATAAAGTGGAAGAAAAGCTCACAAGGCGAAGCATGCAGCCTGCAACAGTATACACCACCGGTGCCTTAGTGTAGAGAATGTCAAAGGCAAATCCGAGTTCAACCTCAATCACATGGAAAGCATCTTTACTAGTGAGATCCCGGAAATAGGATTGACTCTTGTCCCGATCCTGGAAACTGAGGATGAGATCTACAAACAGACGCTTAAACGTCTGGAACAAACGGTATGCTTCGAGTTTGAATTTATCAACACCAGCACCATCAGCATCAGGATAATTAGGATAATATTGGTCAGCAGGAACTGGGGTTTCAATTACCTCATCCGCCCCAACATGGAACCCCTCAGCCGCCTTCAAAGTAAATTCCTCCATGAATTTGGCATAATTGGGGCCTGAATCAGGGGGAGTGAGCATGGAGTCACGAAGATGCTCGCTGTTTGCACATCTGAGTGACCAAGTTCGCTCACCATATTTGATGAGACCGGCATTAAGCACGAGAATGCTCAAAACTGGAAACCAAGAACAACCAGGCCAGGCCATGAGAAAGATATAGAGTGCCACTGCAGTCTGAACCACCAGTCCCAGCAGGTGCCTCAACCAGAGCTCGTTATCTTCCAGAGAGTAAGCCGTGATGGTGTCAGGACCTCCAAGGTGCAGCAGAAGAAACGGTGCCCAGAACGACATCAGCTCGTTGGTGGCATTCTCCATATCAACACCTCCAGCTGGCGTTGTTTCGCATTGTTGTTGGCTAGTAGTATAAGTTCTGGAGATGATGCCAAGGGCGACGATTGCAACCCAGTCGGCCATTAAGTAGGCGGACCAAAGGATGATTCTGATCGAAGTCCTGCAAACATACTTTCTCCGGGCTCCGAGCAGAACAAGTATTATCTGCAAGGTGAGGCTCAGAAGCATCATTACACGCAGCTCCCATTCGTTCCACACTTTTCTTACATTTTCTGGGAACACTTCCACAAGTTGCCTATTCTCCGCGTACATGAATGCGCTTGCAACTAATTCAATTTATATATATTAGAAACTGACTGATGGATTAATAAGCGACAATTAAACTGTAATATTTCAAATTATATATTTATAAAAAACCAGAGTTCCGAAATTAAGACGAGGAGTTTAAGGAAATAGAAGCTGACGTACCTGTAAAGAGCATTGTTCAATCGAGAGAGAGATGATCCAACAAGAAGGCCAATACTAAAGGAGAGTAGTAATTGACAGCAGAGATGACTTGTGGTTGACTTGTCAGTTTAGCAATTGGGATGGGCTTCAAGTAGTCTACACATGCACATTTAAAATTATTTAAGGTATTTTCCGGGAAATTTTCAATTAATTTCCAGGACGCCATGTATGAAGTGGACAATGTGGAATTCTATGGAAAAATTTTGAAGGGGTCAAATTGTTTGTTTGGTATCGTTTCTGAGTCAAAGAGGGGGACTTGGAAAGTTCCTGTGGTAGACTGCATGCATGAAAGTGGACCGCCCACAAAGCAAATTACAAGGCTTGATTTTTCAGCTGAGGGAAGTAATGACCGAAAATATCTATACACCTACGCTCCGTTTATAGGTAAAGATTTAGGTAGATGTTGAGGTCAAGGGGTGTAAAATAACTTATTGAGAATTGATTGGTAAATTATTTTTGTTAAGTTATAATAATTTTTTTGTTCCTAAAAATTTTACTACCAAACATCATAAAATAAAAAAATATTTTCATTAAGCCCTAATGATTTTAATTTGGGACAATGATTTGGAGTTACAGACAAAGGCTAACGATATCACAATGTCATTCATATTTTTAACATCATAAAATTAATCGGGTAGTCAAATTTCCTATCCTTACTCTTTTATTTGTAACCCACATAAGTCCTACTTTAAATTATGAAGAGGCCAAGAAAATTTCAAAACCTTAAAACACGTACTTTCCTCTACTCACACATTATTCTCTATTTATTTTACTGGAAAAGAGGCATTCTTCCAAATATTCGAACGTTGAAAAGTTCAATTACGTTTGGGAAAATTTGAATTTTGAATTTTGAATGTTCAATTATACAACATTCTCATATCCACTAAGAAAATTATTCCATGACTGCGTTATAATTTCATCATTCTTGGACTATGAAATAACTCCGCAAGAGCTTTGTTCAAGCAGTTTATTTTTGTAATTTTTAAATAAAAAAATTGAGAATTCTAATCTATACAAGGAACAATTAGGCTTCATGCCCCACGTTATCCATATCTCAACTAGTGCTAAAAAAAAAAAAAAAATACCAACTATTACTATGACAGTTCAGAATGTCAATTTGACAAAAATAAAATAAAATAAAATAAAGTTCCGAATGTCAATTAGTAAATTAAAATTCTGTGCGGATGCTCAATTCGGCTTTAAAATAATATAATTTATTTTTTAGTATTTATTTTTGTTGATGATTGTTTTCGGTCCAAATTGTTGCATGTATTTTTTTTTTTTTCCCTAATTGAGGATACCAAAAGTGACCTGGGCTTGATACGATCCACATTGTTGAGAACGGGTCAGGTAAGGGCAGTTGAAATGAAGCAAGTCATCGTTGAGCGGGCCTAGGTCCAAGAGGTTAGTATAGAAGCCCACAGGAGGATGAAAGGGGTTGGGCCCAAACAAAAGGAAAGTAGACAAGGTTAGCCCATCATAAGAAAATCAGTTAGAAAGCTTCAGGAGTGGTTGTAACCGTCTATAAATAGATGAAAAGGAGAGGGAAAAAGGGTTGGAAAATGTTTGAAATGCATAATTTCTCTTTCTAAATTGGGGGAAAATTTCGTGCATCTTCAATCGCGCCGTATGTGGAAAGCGATGAGGATTGATTAATGTTTGATCCAAATCGATTCGATCCAGAGTAATTCGTGAAGAAAACGCTTGATCTCTGAAAGCTAAATCAAGATTAATGAAATCGTGGTCTGTCTTGTTGTATCTCGGTTCTAGTTGATTTCGAGAGATTGGCGTCCGATCTACGCAGTTCTGATCTGTGTTTGTTCCGGTGAGCTGCGCAGTTGAGACTTGTTGAGATTGTCAAATTTGGCGAGCTCGTTGCTGAAGCAATTCAAATCCGGCCAATACTGGTCAGAATTCAACTAGTTTGAGTCCAGATCTAGTGCGCTCGCATTAGCAAAGCTCAGATCTAATCAGAAATCTACGGTTAATGACTTTGCTCCAATCAGGCATGATGATCGAATAAGAGAGCTCAAATCCATTAGAGAATGGCCAGTAGTCGAAGCTCGATGAGTTGACAAGCATGATTGAAGTCCTAAGAAGAGAGAATGCAGAATTACGAGCTGAAATGGAGCGTCATGAGGCTCCTACTATTCCAAGGCCACCTCCGGTAGGAAAGGGAGTTTTGCCGTTCAATGCTATTCATCAAGGTGATCCAGAAGGTTTCAATCGCATGGATCCTCATCGAGAAGAAATTTTGGTAGGTGATTTACCTCCAAATATCCGTCAGGTAGAAGATCGAGAGGGATCTATTCATTTGGATCAACATCACGAACGGATCATGCGAGAGGAAGCACCAGCATTTGACCATAGGGTTGCATCACCATGGCGGAGTGAGTTTGCGGAGGACAGATCGTTTGATCCACCCTACCGGCCTTCAATGGCAACGTTTGATTACAGGAGTTCAGAGAGGAGATCTGCAGACCATAGAGTTCCATCACGGTTCTCAAGGAAGAATGAAGCACTCCGTTCATCAGCAAGAATGGTTGCATCTCCGTTCACTGACGAAATCCTAAACGCTCCAAATCCGAGGAAGTTTTCCATGCCGATCTTCATTCTGTTTGATGGAACAACCAACCCGATCGATCACATCTACCACATTCAGTTGAAAATGGCTTTGAACACGAACAATGATCCTTTGATGTGCAAGTGCTTCCCTACAAGTTTGGCTGGGCCAGCCCTCAATTGGTTTAAGAATCTGGCTCAAGGTTCAATTGCTAGTTTCCAGGACTTATGCGACAAGTTCATAAGCCAGTACTACAGAAATAAACGCCCGGCCAAGGACCTTTCAAGCCTCTTTACAATGAAGCAGCACGAAGACGAACGACTCTAAGCTTTCCTCACCTGGTTCAACCTTGTCAAGAGCATGGTAATGGAATGTCATTCGTCCACGGCGGTTCAAGCGTTCAAACTTGCAATGAACCGAGGGACACCGTTCTACACAAGCCTGTGGTGAATATGCCGAAGACCATGGATGAGCTAAACAAGAGAGCTGACGGTTTTATGCGTCTAGAAGAAGAAGAGGCAGCTAATGCAAGGAAGACATCAATTATTTCAACAGAGGAGAAGTCCAAAGCCAAGATCCGGCAAAAGCAAGCTCAGTTACAATGTCAGACCTCCTAGAAGGCCGAGAAGAGGCCTAGAGAGAAAGAGTTAGTTACTCCACTCAGAGTTACTCTGGCAAGGCTGTATCAAGATCACAAAGATAAGTTTCGCCCTCCCTTACCAATCAGACAACCTCTTGAACAGAAGGATCAATCTAAGCATTGTGCTTTCCATAATGATTTTGGTCACCAGACTAATGAATGCAGGAACCTAAGGAGGCAAGTGGAGATTCTGATCGCAAAGGGGGAATTTGCAGAATATGCTCAAGGGCCAGCATAGGAGGAGAACCGACTGGCTGACTAGGTCAAGAGAACTTAGAAGCTGAGTCACCATGGCACTCAGCTCGTTCGGATTATAAATGCAATTCATGGCCGACCTGAACAGACAGCAAAGTCAGAGGAGCTACTCAGAACACGACTACGCCAAGCACAAATGAAAAGGAAGATCGGTAGTGTGCATGCTTTGCATCAGCAGAACGCATCCGCACAGATAAAGTTTGATAGAACAGACCTGTTGCGCGTTCAAACCCTCATGAAGACCCACTGGTCGTCAGTTTAACAGTAGTAGAATACCTGGTGCGAAGAGTTCTGATTGATCCAGGAAGCAGTGCGAATGTTATGCCCAGAGTAACATTTGACTAGCTTGATATCAAGCCGGAAAGGCTCAAACCCACAGGAAATCCGTTACTGGGGTTCGATGGGAAATGGGTGGTGCTCATTGGCATGGTAGAATTGGTTGTGCAAGCTGCTGAAAGAGTTCTGACAGAGACATTTGTAGTCGTTGAGATCCATCCCTCCTACAACCTTCTGAAGGGAAGAGGATGGATCCACAGAGTCCAGGGTGTTCCATTAACTTTGCATCAAGTGATGTGATGTTTAGGTCCAGATGGGAACAAAGTGATTGACATTCATGGAGATCAGGTCGCGACCAAGGAATGCTACTCTGTAACTCTGAAGTCTGCTGGAAAAGGAAAAATACCCATCCATTCTGCTAGCCCAAGATAGCAATTACAGTGTCATCCACCCAACAATAGTGGGGAGGAGGAGCCTTCGGTCTTGACCGAAGAACCTCTTATTGATGTGCAGATCGACCATGAGAAGCCAGAGTGAACCACAAAAATGGGAACAACACTTGCAGAAAGGGAGAAACAAGGGTTGATTAATTTCTTGTCTCAGAATGCAGATGTGTTCGCGTGGAGCCATTCAGACATGCCAGGAGTCAGTCCTTCTATTTCCTGTCATTTTCTCAATGTAGATCTGAACGCAAAGCCTGAAAGGCAGAAGCAAAGAAGGTTCGCTCCAAAGTGCAATCAAATTATAACTGAAGAAATCAATTAATTGCTCGATGCAGGGTTCATTAGAGAGGTCCAATACCCGGTTTAGCTCTCAAATGTCATTGTTGTGCAGAAAAAGAATGGGAAATGGAGAGTATGTATTGACTTCACCAATCTGAACAAAGCTTGCCCGAAGGATAGCTTCCCGTTGCCAAAGATTGACCAGATGGTGGATGCCACTACTGGATATGAACGGTTAACATTCCTGGACACGTACTCAGGCTACAATCAAATCCCTATGAACCCCATTGATGAAGAAAAAACTTTTTTTTGTCACCGACCAAGGAACCTACTACTACAAGGTCATGCCGTTCGGACTAAAGAATGCTAGAGCTACTTATCAGAGGCTAATCAGCGAGATTTTCAAAAATCAAATAGGGAAGACTATGGAGGCATACATTGATGACATGGTGGTAAAGAGTAAGAAAAAGGAAGATCACCTGGAACACCTGCAAGACGTGTTCAGCGTGTTGAGGAGGAATGGAATGAAGCTTAATCCAACCAAGTGCTTATTTGGTGTGAGCTCTGTCCAATTCTTGGGACACGTGGTCAATCATAGAGGAATTGAAGCCAGCCCAGCCCAAGCAGAAG